AGTACATGTAATAATCGAGGAATGCTACAATTCTCTTTTAATAAAATAAATTCCTGTCATGCATAATTTTAGTGGTAACTCATACATGTCTACACAGCGGAATAATTTATTTAATAAAATCAAATGTTATAATATTTTCCAAAATCATCAGGGATTAACACCTGGAAAAGTCAACGTCATATTATAACAATTAAAAGAAATAAACGAGTCTGACTAAAGCAGCTCGACAACCAAACGTTCCCGGAGTTACAACTATCAGAGCATGACCCGGACATACTAAAACGAAACTAAACTAGACACGATAAGCCTTCGCCAAGCACCTGAGCGAAGCTCCTCAATCTGAAATATGCAACAGTAAGGGTGAGCTTCTCAAATATACATTTGGTTATACATTCATAACAATCAATTCACGAAAATCATAAGCATCACCCAATAATTAGCATATTTCATAGTTTACAAAACCTTTACAATTCATATATCCATGACATATTGCCTTTCATATTTGCAAATATTCATCAAACATCATCAACCATTTATCAGTCATACGTGCATACAAACAATCAAATATAACATTGGAAAAATCATCCATTCATGTTATATTCGAGTAATGCAACACACCCATGCATGTGGTACCACTTCACCGCCCCATTAAATCGCGGGTCACGGATAACTCACCGTTCCATTATATCGCGGACACGGCTACCACCTCAACGTTCCATTATATCGCGGACACGTATATTGGCCACCATGTTAATTCCACACAATGGGAATTAACAAATGCAACATGATATGTAAGTATGTAACACTCAGCATACTATGAACATCAATCAACATATCATGCACATCAACAATATCAAACATAACATGATAGGAATAGCATGTAACCACTCAGCATACTATTAAACATCAATCATATCAAGTTATATCATAATTCATGCTTGATAACATCATCTAAAAGCATGACAATAAGATCCACATAGTGTTGGTATCATAACATACAATCGTTATTCGATACACACATCAATCAACACTAGGAATTCAATAAACACATATTCAAAACATGTCAAACACTGCACATCAAAACCGGATCAATCCGTACTTAACAACATGCATGGAAAACATAGTTTAAAAACCAACACAGGAGGTTTAACACGGGTGCCCGTGTAAAACAACACTGCCCGTGTGGAAATGTGTCCAGAAAACACGTTTTTTTGACAAAACAGGGGATCAACACGGGCGCCCGTGTAAATCAACACGGCCCGTGTTGAATTGTGCCCAGAAAACCCATTTTTATGCCAACACAGTGAATCAACACGGGCGCCCGTGTTAATCAACACGCCCGTGTTGAATTATGGCCAGAAAACACATTTTCATCAGCATACAGTGAATCAACACGGGTGCCCGCGTAAATCAACGCGCCCGTGTTGATGAGTGCGAACCCAATTTTTCTGTTTTTGCAGCAGCTCATATACCCATTTTTTTGCACGAAAATACCTCTCTACGGCGGTGCAATATGGTACAAAGACATCCAATCCATCATAGGAACCTAAAGCCTCTAATTGATTCATAAAATCGGGAACTTAAACCTTTTCTAAACAAAGTTCAATCCTAAGGTTATCGATCCCTAGAAACATCTAACAATTGGGATTTCCTACGATTACCCGAATCAACCGTACATAAACCCATAAACAAATATAAATCGAGTATAAACCCCCCTTACCTTATCAATTAGCAGCTTTGAGTTCTTGAGCGATGTTCTTCGTTCTCCGTTCTTCAGAGCTCTATTTTCCCAAATTCCAACTTCTGTTCTTACGTGAAAACCAAAAATGAGAAAATGGCCTAAGTCCCAAACATAACTTTATTTCTCTGCACCCCCACTCTTTACTAACAACATCTAAGCCCAATAACATAAAAATCCCAATATTCCTTATTTCTTTTATTTTCCTCAAATACTCCAAAATAAATAATTCTTTTTTATTTTATTAATTCTAATAAAATAAATTCCCAAATTCAAATAAATCAATTAATTGAAAACGGGGTGTTATAGTTGTAGCCACCTCTACCTCTGTCGAAACACTTTCCTTTGTCTTTGGTCTCTTTTGCTGAATGTGCCTGCAAGGCCACATCACTCTTCGATTTTCATGCAGCTCTTTCGTTCATTCTTTGTTCATGAGATTCAAGCGTCCCTTGAAGCTCTTCCTTTGTCAATTTCGACAAGTCTTTCCCCTCTTCTATCGCCACCACTATGTGGTCGAGTTTAGGAGCTAAAGATATCAAGATCTTCGACACAACAACTCTTATTGTTAATGCTTCTCCACATATCTTGATTTGATTTACTAGTTTTGTAACTCTAGTGAAGAAATCAGATATGCTTTCACTGTCTTCCATCTGAAGCAGTTCATAGGTCCTTTTGTGAGTTTGTAACCTCACTTCTTTCACTTTCCCAGCGCCTCCAAAAGACTTCTCAAGGATTTCCCAAGCTTCTTTTGCAGATTCTGAATCACTAACCTTTCCAAAATTGTCTGGGCTGACACATTGATGAATTATAAATAATGCTTTATAACTCAGCTTCTCAGATTCTATGTATTTCTTCTTTTCTTCTTCTGAAGCGTTTTCTCCAAGCGCTTCGACTCCATCTTTTACAAGGTCCCAAAGACCTTGACACCTGAATAAGACTTTCATCTGTTTGCACCAATTCTCATAGTTGTCAACTTTCGGAATTGGTAGGGTTGCTGGATAATTTACATTCCCATAACTTGTCATCGTGAATTCTTCAATCGTTCTTGATTGACACTTCCCTTGAATCGAAACAAAGCTCTTGATACCAGATGTTGGAAATCCACCAAAACTCTATGATGAATTTCTACCAGAATGATGATTAGTTATGAGAAAAACAAAGAAAAGAAGACAAGACAAATAATTTCTGCAGAGTTTCTCTCTGCTCACAAACTGTGAAAACTTTATTATTCACTTTACAACTGCAAAATACTGTGAATAGCTTGCTTGACTTGCTTACAAAAATAGGGGTTACTCCCTCTATTTATAACTGAGCTTACACCCTAAGCCCAAAGTCCAAAATATTTTTTTGTTACTAAATCAAATCTAATTTATTCTAAACTTAAATCAAATCTATTTAAATCTAAAACAAATCAAATCTTTTCGACACATGGTTTCGACACATTAGATTACAATTTAACAATTAAGTATGTTTTTTTTCTTTAAATTATCAAATTTTATTTTTGATTTCTATAAAAAAAATTTACATGTTTTAATTCTTACAAAATTATATATATATATATATATATATATATATATATATATATATATATATATATATATATATATATATATATATATATATATATTAATCCTTATAATTAAATCGATGTGTATTTTTAAATTATTATTTTAAAGACATGTTTAGATCGTTATAAAAAATTTCTCAAAAAACACTCAAAATTTAATTTCTAAATCAAAATTTTCATTGTTGTTATCTATGTCTTTTAAAATTTTAAAAATTCATATTAAATTTTTTTTCAATTTAAATAATTCTAAAATTTGATAAATAAATATTTTATAATATTCTAAATATTTATGAAAAAAATTATTCAAAAATTTAAGATATATATATAACTTATTGTTAACTTATTGTTGGTGTTTGACATTTAACATTTTGAATTTTATCTATTTTAATAAAATATTTATATCCATTGTCTTTTGTTCATGAATTCAACCATTTTTATTCTAGAATTCTAAAGCTTCAAAAACACCTATGATTTCTAAAATTAGGACATTTTTTATCATTTTCAAAATATGAAGATTAAAATGGTGGAAAAAGCTCAAAATAAACTATTTACAAGTCTTAATATAAAACAGATTTTTAAACTATGGCAAACTTTTACCAAAATCAGACCATACAAAAAAAAAACTATGGCAGTCCAAATATAAGTCAAAATCATACCTGAAAATTTTATCATAGATTAAATTCAAACTTAATTTTTTTTTTTTGTCTATAAGACATACTCAAATCATTCAAATTCTAGTCTTACATGGTCTATTCTCAGTCCTCTAATTGTGACTCTATCTATCCATCATATGCGAGTCAATTTCAAGAAATACAGCTTTAAAGTTTATTCATAAAGGGCTTTCTGCCACACTAATGCTTGATTATGACTTCACTATCAATCCCTTAAATAAAGAGACTCCCTAAGTTATAGAACAATGAAGAATAGAAACAGTGAACAGAGAGAAATGCAACGAGATTAAGATGATCATTTGTCACAACATAGCCAACCACTAGTAGAGTTGAAATAAGTGAGCATAAACATATAGTAAATTGCACTATCTCATGTAATTCTCATGCTGGGTTGAAATCCAAACACAGTTAACCCTCCATCAACACAAATAACTTGTCCAGTGATGTAAGATGCAGCAGGCAAACAAAGGAAATTTACCAAAGAAGACGCTTCTTCGGGTTCTGCAATCCGCTTTAGAGGAGTTCTAAACAGAATATCATCCACAAACTTCTGATTTTGAAATAGCTACAAAATATAACCAAAAAAAAGTTGGATCAAACACATCTTTATGCACTTGAGACAGTTTCTAGATGTTGCTAGTAGTTTCAAGATTCTTGGCGTGAATGATGATGCCTTTCGGTTGAGGCCTTTTCCTTTTTTCTTATGCAAAGAAAGCTTTCCATTAAGAAAACAGGGACTGTGATACAACAGAAGGGTTCATGGAGGGAAAACCACCAATTCATGTTCTAGATCCCTGAAACTTTCCTACCCCAACTAAATTGTGAGCATCCAAATTACAAGATCTGCTAATGAACATCACACTAGAAAAACAGAATTTATCTAACAGCAACCTATAATCTGCAGCAATATGATCAATAACAGCAAAGCTATTAACTAAATTGATACAATCCACTGCATTGATACAGTCAGATTGAACCAAAATCATGTCTATATGGAGGTCAATAGCAAGAGACAGCCCCCATCTCAAAGCTTGAATTTCAGCCACCAAAGGGGACACATAAATCTCTCTTTTCTGCACGCAGCCAGCAACACTTTGCCATCTGCATCCTTTACAACACAGCCATACGCTGCAGACCCATCAGTAAAGACTCCTGCATCCACCTGCATAATGTTGAGGTTTCTGGGACAGTATTCCTCTTGCGAAACACGATGCCGCTGCTCTGGACCAACATCCGGATACCACGCATTAAATTCACAGACGCAGTTAAGAGCCTCTTCCGCAACCTGAATTGGATTCAACACCGTGTGTTGATAAATCTGAAGATTACGGGCAAGCCACACCTTATATGTCAGTGTGCACAGCAGTTGAACACTGAATTTGTCGCCACAAGTAAGCACACTAAACAGCCAATCGTTAAAGTCCACAGAATGAGGAAGCCTGAAGCTAAGAATAGAGGAGAAGAAGGCATGTTTTGCGAACTTACAGTCGAGGAAGAGGTGTTGAACCAATTCAGAGGAAGACTGGCAGAAGTTACACCCAACATCCAGCCTTATCCCCTTTTTGATGAGATTCTCCTTTGTTGGCAGAACATTCTTGGAAGCTCTCCATAGAAAGTTACGAATTCTCTGATTAACTGACGCCTTCCAGATTTCTTTCCAAAGCTTCAAGTCAGGGGGCCTTGAAGGACCAGGGGATTTGCTGGCCTTTGCTTGCAAGCATAAGTGATAAGTTTAACGAACTGAATATTCATCATTCTTCTCCCAATGCCAAATGATTTTATCTTCAGGATTTTGCCTAGAGAGAGGGATGCTGACAATGAGCTTTGCTTCCTCCGCTTCAAAAGTAGAAAAAATGAGATCACGCTTCCATTGACCAAGATCCTTATCAATAAGAGAGTTAACTAAGGAATCTTCATCCAGGCCATGGACTCTCCCAGTAACTCGAAAACCAGCATTTTCAAAGATCCATCTGTCTTTACAAATCAAGACGTTCTCACCATTCCCGATTCTCCATCGAGATCCTTTCTAATAAGACCCCTCGCACTTAGCACACTCCTCCAAGCATAACTTGGAGCGTAGTCAATTGTACTCTCCTCAATAATAGAACATCGCGAACAATACCGCCTTTCGAAAATCTTCCCCAAGAGAGTATTTTCACCATTCATAAGGCGCCAGTAATGTTTGCCTAACAGATTACTGCTAAACTCACTTATACTACGGAACCCCAAACCAACTTCACTTTTAGCTCATGCCATTTTATCCCAAATAAGCCAGTGCACCTTTCTCTTGTTGTTTTTAGAATCCCTCCAGAATTTAGCAATTATCGCTTCGATCTCATGACAAATAGACTCAGGGAGCTTGTAGCAGCTCATAATTTAGCTGGAAATGGCTTGCGCTACTGCTTTAATTAGGACCTCTTTCTCGGCCCTTGACAAGAATTCCTCTTTCCATCCTTTAACTTTCTTCCAAACCTTCTCCACAACCAGGGCAAATACTTCCTTTTTTAATCTCCCGAACACAACCGGCAATCCAAAATACTTCGAATGACTTATCGTTGTCTTTACCCCCATTCGAGAACGGATTAAATCTTTAGCATGATCAAGAATATTTTGACTAAAAGTCACTTCAGATTTATCAAAATTAACCAGCTGATCCGAGGCACGTTGGTATTGCTGCAGAACTCCCAGAATGCATTCAGCTTCTTGTGCGGTAGCCGTTACAAAGAGTAAACTATCATCGGTAAAAAGGAGGTGAGAAATCTTTGGGGATGTTCTATTAAGGCTTTTTTATTACTCTCCGAGAGATAGAGTCAAGAGTTAGTTAAATTCTTTGAAGTCTAATTTCATTTCTGCATGGAATGATCTAGCTAAGAAGTTTTTAGCTAAGTATTTTCCTCCTTCCAAGAATGCAAAGATGAGAAATGAAATTACTTGCTTGATTTAGGCAAGGAGATGAATAATCTTTATTTGATGTTTGGGAAAGATTTAAAGAGTCGCTTAGTCAATGTCCTCACCATGGCATACCCATATGTGTTCAACTTGAAACTTTCTACAATGGGTTGATTCCTTCTTCAAGGAACATGCTTGATGTCTCATGTAGATGAGCTTTTTTGTTTAAGTCATATAAAGAAGGTTATATATTGATTGAGAGTATTACGGCTAATACTTACCAATGACCAGTCACAAGAGCCACTGTTAATTCCACTCAAAAGAAATCTATTGGAGTTCATGAAGTCCCTGAGATAACAACTCTTGTTGCTAAAGTGGCTCAAATACACCAAATGAGGAAGAATATGATGACTCCAGAAATGGCTAAGCTTGAGCTAGTGAAAGTGGTTACTGACGCATCTTCAGTTGCCTGAGCCAGTGAAGGTGGTTACTGACGCATCTTCAGTTGCCTGTGTGTATTGTGGAGGAGCTCATTTGTTTGAAAAAGGCACTGTAAATTTTGTTTCAGTCAACTATGTTGGCAATAATTACAACAGAAATAACAACCCCTACAACAACACGTACAACCCAGGATGGCGCAACCATCCCAACTTTTCATGGAGTAACAACCAAAATCAACCTAAACCCCAAGCTACTCAAGCACCACAAGTTTCACCTGGTTTTGTTACACCTGACTATGTTATGGAAAATCAAGGCAATAACTAGCTGGAAATATCCTGAAATCTTTCATTAAAGAGACCAAACATCAATTTCAAACGCACGGAGTGAGCATAAAAAACCTAGAAAACCAAGTAGGGAAAATTGCCACTGCTTTGAGTTCAAGGAATGTGAGAACACTCTCAAGCTCTACTGAAACTCCAGCTACAACTTCTGGAGTAAAGAATGTTGAAACATGTCAAGTTATCAAACTTAGGAGTAGGAAAGAATGTGAAGGATCCTCTCCTAGAAACACTGAGACAAGTGGAGTTCTTCCTGAGCAGGACAATGTTGAAGAAAAAGGAAATTCCAATGAGGAATCGTCTTCATCTGAAAATCATGAAGAAAATGTTGAGCCACATGCTAATAACATGGCTTCCAACTCAGAAAAATAGCCTAAAGTCATGATTAAGCTCGAAAAAGAGCAAAAGTTTGTTCAAGAAAGACCTCCACCTCCTTCTCCATAAAGGATTAGGAAAGATAAAGAAGAACAATAGTTTGGCAAGTTCATGGAGATTCTGAAGCAGCTTTGCGTCAATATACCATTGATTAAAGTCGTTCAACAAATGCCAAATTACTATAAGTTCACAAAGGATGTTCTCACTAAGAGGAAAAGAGTGGGAGAATTTGCAACCGTTGCACTCAATCAAGAGTGTAGCCAATTAGTCCAAGGCAAGCTCTCTCCAAAGTTGAAAGATCCTGGAATTTTTACCATCCTCGATACCATTGGAGACTCCTTATGTGGTAGAGCTCTTTGTGATTTAGGAGCTAGCATAAATCTTATGCCATTTTTCATCTTCAAGAAGTTAGGGATAGGAGCTGTCAGGCCTATGACCATCACTCTATAGTTGGAGGATAGGAGTATTTTCTATCCTCAAGGGAATATAGAAGATGTGTTGGTAAGGGTTGACAAACTTGTCTTCCCTGCTGACTTCATTATCATGGACTTTGATGTTGATGAAGAGACTATCATTCTATTAGGAAGACTTTTCCTTGCTATAGGAAGAACTTTGATTGATGTAGACAGAGGAGAACTAACCATGAGAGTCAATGGACAACAAGTTGTGTTCAATGTCATTAATGCTTTACAGTACCCTGAGCAGGATGTAGTTGATGTTCAATGATCTCTAGTTGGGAATGAATGATTCACAAGAATCTCCTCAAGTCACCCTCTTCTCCTTGCATACCTTGTGTTTCCTCTAAGATAATGGATTCACTATGGAATCAATAGCAAGGCGGTTCCAAACCACTCTTATATCTATTCCTATTATATTAGAGGGCACACATGCGAACAAGTCTATTTTTCTCCTTAGTAAGGCGATTATCTCTTATTCTTCATAATCATATAAAGAGGTGCCTAGCTTGGTAACTTGATGGTCCAAGGGCCCAATCTAAACTTATTTTAGGTCTTCTATGGGAGTGGACCTTTCATTTTCGGTTTCCCAATATAAGGCCCTAAATGGCGATATATGCCTCTCTTACTTATAGATAATGGGAAGTGTTTATGGCGACATGCCTCCTTCTCATTTCCAATTTGTTCTAATAGCAATTTTGGGTGAACTCTTGGTCCCTCCAAACTAATCCAACTCACCCATCTGGTAGCGAATACTTTAGACTTAAATAAAGAGTAGACAAAATCGTACTTAGCAAGTGGAGGGACGACCTTCCCAAGATGGTGTTTTATGGAGACAAGGCGTCTACCATAAGATATTTTACTTTAATCATTTATGTACTTTCCTCTGAGCCAAATGTTGTTTCGAGTGTTATATGGTCCTTTACTTGTACTTGTTCACCTGAAAATCTAACCAGAGAACTTAGGAAAGCTATGATGTTGTCTAGGTCAAGCTGGAGCCCTTGGAAGGCGCTCTAGAATAATACATCTATCGAGCTTCCATGGTTGATTAATATTTTCTTTATATCTCAATCATCATATTACATCGCGATGACCATGAGATCATTGTTGTGAGAGAAAAATGCCAATGGTGTCTTTACTGAAGAAGATGATTTTGGATTCTAGCTCTCTCCCTAGGGTTTTAGTGATATTTGTGGGTATGATGTTTACTGTCAAGACCTTCCTGTCATACTTCCTCTTAGAGGAACTCGAATATCCTTCCCTGACAAAACCTTCAACAAGGGTTTTGACAGCAGTCTCAAATATTTGTTTAAGCATCTTTTAGGGGAAGGTGGCAAAAATGAACAATGATTAATGATGAGTGTGACCAATGTTAATTTTACCAGGCCCTGCGGTGAGTTCCAATTATACTTGTTAAAACACAATATGTGATAAACCCTTGAGTTGTAGGGTTGTTAGAGGTTTTAGGTTAATTTTGGTGTTAGAGCAAGCTTGCATAAGGACGCGAGAAGCTCAGTATATGGTATTTTTGCATATTGAGTTGACTTCTCCTTCAACCCCGTGGTTAAGGTATTTATAAGAAATCTCTGGGTCCTCAAAGACGCAAGTGATTGATAACCACTCTCAAGAATGTAGAAAGTAGGCAATCAACTCCCTATTATTTAGGAGAACGTGATCTTCATTTTTTGACTCCATCTTCTTACCATTCAGGACTGAGACATATCACTCCACACGTTCTTATGAATCAGTCGAGTCATCCAAGAAATGGGCAACATAATTAAGAAATGGGCGCATGTCTTGATAAATGGGTTGCTAGGGAGTCAATCGCGTACACAACGTGCCACCTCGTATGCCCTGGGTGAGTTCTGGCTCCCGGTGGGCTTTACACTTGTATCAACACAAGTTCTTAGATAATAAATTAGTTAGAGTTTATTATAAGTTAGTTACCTTGCTATTAATACCTTATAAACTAATATATATATATATATATATATATATATATATATATATATATATATATATATATATATATATATATATATATATATATATATATATATATATATATATATATATATATATATATATATATATATATATATATATATATATATATATATATATATACCAGCGTCTAAACATGGATTCTTGTTTCCATCTATCCTTTTTTTAATGGGCACACACACATGAAAATATAAATATTTTTTGTTTAATTTTGATTTTAATTTAAATTGTTGATGTAATAAAACATTTGATACATATATTAAGTTTTCGAAGATATGTAGTGATTTTGGTACATGATTACTATAGTTATAAAAATATACATCTAGAACAACAATTATAACCCAATCCGTACACATGTTAGACGATATGCTATGATCTAGGGGGTGAATAGATTGCAAATTAGTTTTTCTTGTTAAAAGTTATGTTTCAAAAAAATTTAACTATGGCGCGCAGAAACAATCCTGAATCGACAATCGTCTATCCGAACTGTTATCGAAAAGATCGGATATGCGTTAAACTGATAGAACGAATACGTAAGATGGGAAAAATAATCAATATATTTTCAGTAACTATTTTTGAATAAAACCACATAATAATAATCGATTTTCAATGAAATATTAAACAAAAATTGATTTAAGAAATTTGTCGATCACTTGGTGTGCAATCGATTCAAAACATATTTTTCTATGATTTTGTTGATATGTAAATTCAATTACAATCAAATAGATTATATTCAACTTAATAAAACAGTTTGAATTATTAAATAAAAAGATTATCTTAATGTATCGATTGCACAATCAATTATTTCATAATTTTCAAGTAAATGTAAATGAGAGAGGGGGAGAGAGACACACACAAAAGGATTTATTTAGGTAGTTCCCCAATTGACTTTGCAATGGGTACATGTGCCCCCAATTCCAATGAAATTGAGATAATGAAAATTAATTTTTGCAAATGTAGTTTACAAGAGAAAAAGTAGCAATCCAACCCTCCAAACCCTATGGTTGATGTTGATCATAACTTCTTCCCTCCCCTTGATCTTGAGCTCGATCACGTAATCTGATACTTCGAATTTGATCCTTCGATTACTGCTACTCCTTTGACAGAATCCTCGTTCTTCAATGGCTTCACTCGACTGAACTCAAATTGCAAATGTATAGTGACCCAAGATTACCAAAGTGATCTTCCGATTATCTTTACTCCTTTGACATGAACCCCCGTTCTTTAAAGCTTTCACTCGGTTAAATCCAAGTTGCGCAATCTTGTGAAAAACTCCCAAGTTAATCCTTGATTTTGGAAGTAAACCCCAAATAGATTTATCTTGAAAGCTCCAAATACTTTTCAACCCAATTCATTATACCAAATCCTAGTTGGACCTTATCAAGCTATCTCTTGATCATACAACAAAGATAATTATGTGTAGTTTGTTGTATGTATGCAATAAGAGAGGATAAAGATGATGAAAATCTTTATATATTTTTTGTTTCAATTTAATGAGAAATGATGCATGAATAATTATAATATGTGTGAGTGTGTGAAAGAATAAAATAGAAAAAATAGGGTTGTAAAATTACAAAATTGGATATTTTGAATAGTGAGAGAAGATCCATTCGAGGTAAGAGTCGACCCACAAGGGAATGGGAGTTGACCCATACTTCTTAGGAGTCGACTTTAAGTGGACATAGAAGTTTTAAGAAAAATTACTTCAGTATGAGTCGAGACATAGCACGTGGGAGTCGACTCCTTCGTGTTATGTATCGACTCCAAATGCCTGGGAGTCGGCCCATCCTGTAAAGGGATTGAAAATCAAAAATACCTTTCAATGGGAGTCAAACCACGGATCGAGGGAGTCGACTCCTTTGTGCTATATGTCGACTCCAAAGCTCTTATGTATTGACTCCTTTTTGACATAGATTTTTCTTTCCAATATTCTTCAGAGGGAGTCGACTCCTACCACGGGTGAGTCGACAAACATGATTTTTCATAAAAATGTATATTTTTTACATTTTTAATTTGTCCAAATGCTTTTAACTTGTTCCCTAAGTGTTCTACGATGAAAATGCAACCTAGACATAGAAAGATAAGGTTTAATGTATAAATACTATATATTACCTAGTTTTGACATCACTCAAAACATCTAAGAGCGGATATTACACTCACAACACATACATCATTTTTCATGCCTATTTATCTATTTTTTTTATCATGTTAAAGTGTATAAATTATAAATAATAATTTGTTCTATAAATTTAATTTTTCATGCAATAGAGATCATTGGTTTTAAATCCAATTTCCTCTTTTAAAATATATAAATTTAAATTTTATACATTTTAGACAAATTATAATTGAGAAATAATATTTTTAGATATGTAATGCATCTAATCTACTCATTATAAGGACTGAAGTGTTTATATATATATATATATATATATATATATATATATATATATATATATATATATATATATATATATATATATATATATATATATATATATATATATATATATATATATATATATATATATATATATAATTCTCACAATCAAAGCTTAGAAAAAAACTCAAAATTTCAAATTTTTAAGTTTTATTTAAGATAGTTAAAATTGAGACATAGTAGTCTCTATTAACGACTGAAATATTTCAAAGTTTATTTTATTTCATATTAAATTCAATTTCAATTTCATTGATAAATTTTTTTTGTGATATTCAAATGATATTTTTAGAATAATCTCTAAATATCAAAATAAATTAATATAAATGACGTGTCCCAAAAATATTTCATCTCCAAATTTTTATTAGAGATTTTTTAGTTTCACACAATAATTTTTATCATTGTTGACTTGGACGATTGCTTTAAGGGCGGTCTCAGTCTTCAGATGTCGACGAGACACAGTGAAGCTGCCGATGAACTGGTTCTCGAGGCTTCTCCAGGAGGTGATCGACTCAGGGGAGAGGTTCTTGTACCAGTTCATGGCTGTTTTTCTGAGTGTCGTGGGAAACAACCAGCATTTAATTGGCCCCCCGATGTTGTGGTAGTTGAGCATTGCTTCAAACCCATTGATGTGGTCGACCGGATCAATAATACTATCGTACTCCTTTAGTATGAGAGTTTTCTCCATTCCCCTAGGAATGGGAGCCTCCATGATTTCTTGGGACAATTGACCACGGGGATCGTCTTCGTCACTTATGACTAGAGAGCGGGATGGGGACCGGTTGTAGCGGCAGTCGTTGTGACGGCCTTGGTTACGGGGATGATCCCTTGGCCGAGATTGTCTTTCTCCATTTCCCCTGTTTCTATTATTTCCAGGGGATCGTCGCTTCCTGTGCGGGGGGAGGGGGGGATGACTGCGCCTTCCCGTAGTTTCGGGCTGGCTCCTCTCCAACGCAGGGCCTCGACCAGTTCGTCATGGAGAAGGATTGTGCGAGACATCTCATCTACGTCTCTACGGGGGAGATTGGGGTAGGTCTTCGTTCTGTCGGGGAGGAGGAGTGTCAGGTCTTCCGTGTCTTTTGGGGGCCCAACGAGTTTTCTCGAGCATCCTCAACCGCTCACTCTATGAGAAGATCATGTAGTTGCATTGGTTGATAGTCGCGAACATAACTCTAGTTGTGGCGTCATCACCTACAGGGACGGGGACCTCCTGGTATTCATTTGGTTTGTAGTTCTGGGGAGGATGATAGTCGTCCTCGCGCAGTTGTGAGCGGGTTGATGAAGAGGCAGTCAATCTGTCTGTAGTTTTGCTCGGGATCGACCATGTCGATGTCGTTGCTCGTGTCGTTGTTGTCATCAACGTTGTTGTTAGGATCGAAGAGATGTGCGTTTTGGTTATTGTCGGCAACTTGGTCGGCCATGACAATCGTACAATTTGATGAAGAGTTACTTCGATATTGAGAGGGAAACAGGGAAGCTGGTTCCCGCAGACAGCGCCACTGATCGTACCTGATTAAAAGGGATTGTCAAAGCCCACAAGCTTCAAGTCGAGCAACAGTTGGATGTGAAAAAGGGGGGTACCTGCAAGATACTGCGATGCCAAAGTGAAGTTCAGAGCAAATGCAAGCGAGTATGAGAATAATGAGTGAGTGATTGAATACCTGACCCTCTCAAGTGAGAGGGTATTTATAGCCTCCAGCGTTGGGCCAAGGTCTTTAGTGTTGGGCCACGATGATTTCCAACAACGAAGACTGTCAGGGTTTACGGAAGTATGGAGTCCAGCGCATGGCCTCCTCCCTGGTCAACTGCCCCAAGAAAGCAGGGGCTAGACCCGTCATTCCCAGAGAGCAGGATGATGATGATATGGATACATGAGTTGTCTTCCTAGTGGACGCGTGGGGAAATGCCCTACGGTCCTTAATTTGGGCTGCATGCTTTTGGACCCTTAGTAAAGACACTGGATTGGGCCTCTCCAACGGTGGGGCAAGTGTCAGCCCAATCCAGAACAATTACGTTTTCATATTTTCAAGTATTAAACTCCCCTTTAGCTTGTCATCGTCGAGTCATTGCCTCCCACACACCAGCTATCGCACCGCGTCGCCGTCATCTTCTATGACAACCACAACCACCATCCATCTCTTTGAGTCAGACACAATGACCTTCTCTCCTCTCTTTAAATTAAAAAGAAAAAGAAAATCTAAAAAAAAATCAAATTAATTATTTAATTTTTTATTAAAGATCAATTTTTATTATTTTGTCCAAGACTTCAAATGAAGAATTGGTCCTAAAAAAATTACTAAAAAAGAGTTTATAGGATGATACGATTAATTTTAATAATTATTTAACATTATTAATATTAACAATAATAGTATTTAAATCGAAAAAAATAAAATGAAACATTATCCAGAAGAATTCCACATCCGCATGATAGATTGATATGTGCCATTTTCCAGTTGCATCTTTTCTATAACCGTAACTGTACAGAAATGGCTCTTTTTCTCAACGCCTCCTTATCTTCCACTTCCAAAACCCATCACCGTCTTTCCTTTTCAACCACCTCCACAACTCCTCCTCCGTTTCTGGTTCGTATACTATATACTCCAATCTCATCATGAATCCTATTTTCTTATTCAACTTTAACATTTCCCACTTTATCTTCACAGAGAACCAATCCGAAGCAAACTCAACAACCTCCTCCAAAACTCACATTATCATTCGTCGAATCCGTGTCTAGTGCTACCCTCGTCGCTCTTCTATCTGCTTCTCTCTTCTTTGTTCATCCCGCGCTAGCATTCAAGGTATATAATATATTATGGTTATGTTTCTCTAAACCCTTTTGTTCAAGTTTTATTCTTTTTTGGTTAACTAATAAAGGGTATGTTGGTGAATGCAGGGTGGAGGACCATATGGGCAAGGGGTTACTAGGGGACAAGATCTTTCTGGCAAAGATTTCAGTGGCAAGACACTCATCAAACAAGACTTCAAAACGGTGTAAATTATTTTTGTACTTTAGATCAGAATCTAACATGTTATCTTATTCTTATTACATGTTATGTTACAGTCTATACTGCGACAAGCCAATTTTAAAGGTGCAAAATTATTAGGTGCTAGCTTCTTTGATGCTGATTTAACAGGTTTGGCCAAACACTAAAATCGTATGTATAATAATGAATGTAGTAAAATGCAGTTGGTGTGTTCGCGTTTTCGTATTGCAGAGACCTCAGAAACAGTTTTTTGCAGACCGCAATTTAAAACTATGATAATATTGTGGCTAGTTCTTTACTACCATTTATATTCAATTTCTTTCCAACTGTTATCAGGTGCTGATCTTTCGGACGCTGATCTTAGAAGTGCAGATTTTTCTCTGGCAAATGTTACAAAGGTAACTCTTTTTTTCATGTATTGGCACGTGTTCGTTATGCTAGGATCTAACTAATGAGGATTTACTTTCGGATAGTTTCTTATTACCAACTTATAGATATTGTTCTCGTTCCTATATGCTTTGGTTTATTAAAATGAGAGCCTTTTCTTTGCTCGGTTGATATCGCACTTGCTTCAAAAAATATCTTAATGGCAGTGACTGAAAGTAGGGAGGTTATATGAGTATACAAGAGATAGTTGATATAAACACGCAATGCCCTTATTCGAAAACCTGACCAACTGATATATGTGGCTTTGTTATACTATTTGAAGAAGAGAAGTATAAATGTTTCACATACATGGTAAGAAACTCAAAATAAAATGTCAAAATAGAAGATTCCATTGATATAAGTTATACTTGGTGCTTTCAGCTTCAAGTGTTATTTTAGTTGAAGCTGAAATCTGTCGCAATTCACTGTAATTAATGAAGTTTTTCTTCTAATTTGTTACTGTCGGCACTACCACTTTCTGCAGGTAAATTTGAGCAATGCTAACTTGGAAGGTGCACTTGTAACCGGAAATACATCTTTTAAGGGATCAATTATTACAGGCGCCGGTACATAGTAGTATCACTTAATTATATGTCTAAACGAAGGTTTAGATATTTTCTCAACAAGTTCAATGTTAGAAAATTTCTACACATATTAACAATGGTCTATTATCTTGCTCTGAGCCAGATTTCACTGATGTGCCACTAAGAGAAGATCAACGCGTATACCTCTGCACAATTGCTGATGGGTAAGATTATACGTCTAAATGATGCACATTTTGATCTCTAAATATCTATAATGTTTCACCAGTAATGAAGTGTTTTTTTTTGTGACAGAGTGAACTCAACGACTGGAAATGCTACGCGTGATACATTGCTGTGCAATTAGTATTCCATTCCCGAGTATATCAAACTGTAACTTTTGAATTTATTAATAAACTCTTGATTAAAGTCGAATATAATGTAAATCATATCAAAGGTGAGATTCTCTTTCCATTATGCAAAAAAAAGCAAATACTTGGTTGCATATTAGGTGTCAAAGATCATTCTTTGATTAGTAAGTTTGCCATTCTGATGATATGTTATCCTTTTTTAGTGGCTATAACCACCTAATTTGTATTATAATTGATTCATGTTTACTTACTAAAAGGGAAATTTGAACACAAATTTTGTATTTGAATACACATGAGAGAAGCACACTTCTCTGGTTACTAAGATAATAGGTTTTCAAGTTTTCTGCTGGGTACAAAGTGAACCAAAATCTATCTCATTGAAGCTAATGAAGTAAGATGTGCAAAGTTACAAAACTACTGCTCAGTTAACAAAGCAGCTACCTGATCAGTCTAACTATGAGTATGTATGGCTGAGCTTTATACTTGCACGTCTTAAATACAGAGAAGAAATAAATTTTGGTTCAATTCAAACCCTGCATATTAATGTAACTTTAAGTTGTATTTACAAAATATTTTAATTGTTAATTTTATCAAATATTTTAATGTAATCAACGGATTTATCTTCACCTCAATATTCTCCACATCATTAATGATCGTGTGAAATTTTCTCAACTATTTTACTATAGATTTATTTTCTACCATTATGAATAAGTAAGGTTGTTGTTTCGGACACAACTTGTGAGCCACAAATTTGATCATATACAATGATTTAAGTTTTGTCCACATCGAAGCCACATAATTCTCCGTGACAACGTTCTTTAGGACTTTATTTGCGGCACAAGATAATAGCACTTCTAGCCTTATCCACCATCTCGATCTTTTCTGCTCACTTGCGTTATTTGTTAGGTGTGTTGCATTGATGTCTTGCCTTTCAATGTTTCAACACACTTCTTTTGAGTTAATATTTCTTGTATATTTATTTTCTACAACTTAAATTCGCTGTCTCAAAAAACCCGCTCGATCTGTCATTTAGTACTCATGGTGCTCACTTGTAAACTCCTACGATGGATGTCATTTGACAGTACTCATGGTGCTCACTTGTAAACTTTATCTACTTGTCCTACGATGGATGTCATTTGTTGTGAAATTGAAAGATTCAATCATATTAAACTATCGTTGAAATTTAAGAATATTAATTTCATTAATAGTAAATATGTGTGAGATAAAGAACAATGACAATCAAACTAAATGGTTTCAAGCAACAAAATAACTTACCACTAGTGTAAGTAAATCTACATAAATGAAATGGATGACAAAAGATGAGAACACAAAGAACTTGTTTATCCAGTTTGATTAAAGTGTTCTACTATAGGGGAGATAACAAACTTTAAGATTGACTATACTTCCAAGAATTATTACCAAAGAATACACAAGAGTTATGTATTAATATATTTGAAAGGGGTCTTAAGAGGCGACATGGAGACCTTCAGTCGCACGTTTACTATATCGACCACCCCTTTATCGAATTTATCTCCATTTTATTATACATATCACCCTTCTTTAGGATAAGTTGCCCAACATGGAAATTGGTGAGTGACATGTCTTTATTTTGTAACAACATAAAATAAGCCATCAAAGAGGTGGGTCGTGCTCCTCCGAATATCAAGAGATAAATTATTCATTTCTCGGGTGATTGTTATTTCCAAGGGAGACTTGAATTCAGGTCCAATATGGCTATAAATTGTTAGAACAAAATTTGGATCTATGTTTAAATCTCTATGTTTTGATGATAACAATGTATATATTTTATGTAGAACAATTTTAGTTCTAATGGTTTCATTGAGTGTGCAAATATTAGAATTCTGGAAAGTATTAATCAAGATATCATCAGAATCACTTTATCACTTAAAAGAATAACCATTGAGTTCGTTTCTAATGAAACATCAGTAGTTCTGTTGAATGTTGAATGTTGAATGTTCGACAAGAAATGAATCTTGATGAGTTTCTAAGAAGAACTCAAGCTTCAAAAGATCATAAATCAAAGAGTCAAGAAGTCAAGATTCAAAGATCAGCTCAGCATCAAAATCAAGATCAGAATCAAGAGCTATGAGGTCAAGATATCAAAAATCAAAGAAGTAGCTGATAAAAGCTTTTGCTTACAGCTCAATATCAAGAATGAAGATATCATAAATGAAGATATCATAAATGAAGATGCTCAGAAACAAAAATATCATAAATCAAAGCTTAGAATTAAAGATCTCAATATATCAGAAATGAAGATCTCATATATCAGAAAGAAAGAATTCATCATCGGAAACTAAGATGTAGCTGACATAAGTTGTAGCTTTCAAATTAACTCAAATATCAGAATTCAAGAGATCAAAAAGAAATAATTCAATGTCAAAATCAGATGTACTAATATGAACTTTTGCTTCAGAAATCAGACATCAAATATGCAGCTCAAAAAAGCTGTCATCAGAAATCAAAGATTAGATCAAGATGAATAAACCAGAAAATCAGATGTACTGATATAAGCTTATGCTTCAGAAATTAGACATCAAACACGGAGCTCAAAAAAATTGATTATCATAAATCAGGATCAGATCAAGACATAGTGGATCAGAAAAGTTTTCATTCACAAACAAACTTGTATATTTGAAGACAATGTTCAAATATCTGAAAGACTATGACTCTACAACAAAAAAGTATCTTCTGAATCACTATCATTCTTTAATCAGAATCAATCCAGCAAGAAGAAAAGAATCAAAGCTCAGAATTCAAAGACTTGAGAATCAGAAAGGTTGTTGCCATAATATCTGATTTCAAGATCCAAACATCAGAAAAGCTTTTGATATCAACTTCAGAAAAGCTTTCGCCTAGAACGACAAGACTTGTTTCTCAGATAAATTGCTACTTATATATCTAAAGACAAGAATCCACTAATGGAAGATTCTGAAATGAAACATTTTCTCACTTAATCACTTGGACTGCTTAAATCAAATGGACCATAGCTCAAAAGTTTGTGTAAACATTAAATTATGGTGATATGTGCAAGTTAGAAGGCCCGCAACACAAGATTATGTAGTATAGCATGTAAATTGAATTATGTGTTCTTCACCAAAATGACTTGTAATTCAAGAATGGATGCCCAACTTCATGCCTTTGAATCTCCTAGCTCAAGTATGATAAATTCATGATATTGGATGTTTTGGAAAGCTTGAAACATTTTCTACAACTTTCATGTTGACCACTTTGGCTAAATCAAACTGGAACTTGATGAAAATTGGCCAAGAAGTTGAGGTAAAAACTGACCAAAACCTGTTGAAAATTTCTCTAAGTGTTAGGTAAAAATGTCATGACTTCATGGGCTTATATCTTCAAATCTGAGCATTTTTTGGACATCAACCCTCTAATACAAAGTTTTATAATTCATCGATATCTACACCTTTCATGTTGAAAGTTTTCTTTGAATCATCTTGCATCTTGGTGAAAAAATTTCATGGAGTATTGAAATTATCAAGTGTAAAAAACACTTAGAAAATTTCTAAGTATTGGAAACTTTGACTTTTTATTGACTTTCTTGACTTTCTTGATTTTCTTGATGATCAAGTTTGATATTTTTGTAGGTCTTGATAAATTTTTATCTTTGAAATTTAATATTGACCAAAAAGTCAAAGTTTGACTTTTTGTGTATCGGTTGACTTTTCGTCAATTGATCCAAATTTCAACTATCAAACCTTTAATCCCGAGAACTGCTTCGAACCATGAAATTAGGTCAACATGTTGTGTTCGAGTCCTTGAGATTATGCTTCAAGTCATTAGTTCATGTATTAGGTCAAAAGTCGGTGATCATTAATTCTCAGTCAAAACCCTAATTTGGAGTCCTAGTGCTTAGGAGATGATCTGACCTAGTCAACACTTGTGCAAGCTTAAGTCATTAAGATTTTTTGGTGAGAAATATCTTGATAAAAGAGAGGGAAAATTTTGTGGTACAACATCATTAGTCGAGGACCCCTGATTAAATCTTCTGCTGAAAAGTCGATGCCATACGATTGTCGTATCTGTAGTTCTAGCGCAATTGACTCTAGCGGGGTGGTTGCTCAATAATCGCTCTGTGGATCCAACGTCCTTCACTAAATTTCTAACTGTGTTTCCTAATGTTTTAGTTTTTGACAATCTTGAGACATATTTTCATTTTATTCATCATTTGAGATTGTAAGACATACTTCTACAAATATAAAACAAGCTCGTCCTCTTTTAAATTCAATATCTAAATATTTGTAGTAATTTAATTCTATAACTTGTTGTCATAAGTTAGTATTTTTTTAATGTATAAATGATCTTTCAATCAAACTAGTGGGATACCCATGCGTCTGCACCGGTATAGGCGTGGATCATGGAATTGCCACCAGTTAGTCGTAGAAATTCAAACAAATTAAAAAATAGCAAAATATTATTGGAAAAAATAAAAATAAAAAATGGATTGAAAGATAATTGTAGAAGTTTTTAAAAACAACTATAGTTAAGAAAAATTATTAAACACATACTTTGTAAAAAACAACTGTGAAAAATAGAGAAAAAATGTTTTTTAGAATTGATAGAGTTGTAATAATAAAAGGGTTCATAAAGCTTAATAAATGAGACAAATAACTGACATACATTTTTTCCTACCGTAAGAGTTTTGTACATACAAAAAACTCGCTCAAATATACAACATTCCAACTTGCATGCTACAAACTTGAACCATTCACATAATTTCAACTCGAGCCTTGATTCTAGAAGAGACATCTAGAATTTTTTTTAATTTTTAGTTGAAGTATGTTGTAATACGGTGGGAGAACTGGCTTGAGGTTTTGCGTTTGTGTTCGCAAATGTTGCGGTTTAGCAAGAGTCGCCACCGACTTTTCTTTTATCCAAAAAAGGAAAGGTGAAAAAGCACAGGAAAGACCTTTAGAGATGTTTTTGAGTTCGGGGGGTAGATTATGAAAAGGGAAGG